GTTTGATAACAAAAGATCTGACAAATAATTTACCATGTTCCTATAGCATAATGTACAATGTATTTGATGTTTTTAAGTATTCTGTTTCAAGGTTTATAAATGCAAATGAATCACCATTTAATGTTCTTCCTTTAAAATTAATTTCAACATATCAATTAATGCTAAAATGCACCACATTTACAACCTGAATTACTTTGCATACATCCAAACAAGCACAAAGCGGTAGTTCTATGTTGTAACTTATTAACTTTGAGTAAACTGATGAATATTGTTTAACCATGCCAAATGTGAACTTGAATACATATCATGCAGTTTTCTTATTTGTAAAAACTATTAACGGCATGTCAGAACTGATTTTTTTTTAGGTTTATAAACAACTAGACTACTTTATTGACCAGATTTACAGTATAGTATATCACATTAAACCACATATAAAAACACTTTATTATTTTGTAATACACAGAATATCAACATTATAATGTCCTGAGAATACTCCTAATTATGATTCCTTTTTTAAAGGGGTCATATGATGCTTTTTTAAAGATCATTATTTTGTGTATTTGGTGTGGGACCAGAGTCCTGTGACAGACACGGTGATGAAGCTGGTATGTATTTGCAGTACACAAGCCACAGTTAAGACAGCTGCCTCCACTGTGATGTGACCCTGTCTGCCAGTACAGAAATAGATAGATGTTAGCACATGACAGGACACAAAACGAAAATGAACAGGGAAAGAAAAGCAATAATGGCATGGCTCTTACATCAGCACACGGTAAACATGACCATTTAGACATACGTGATTAACACATCCATTCAAAAACAGCATACCAAAGTCATTACAGGTTTCGAATACACCAGTAGTCATGATTAAAGCAGTGCAAGCAGAAACAAAGCTGCAACTAAGTAACACTGTCACAGGAGTAAACACTGCATTTCCAGTGAATCCATACAGCCAATGGCAGTGATAGAAAGTTCATTACAGCCAAGCCAGTAATTGTGTAGTGCTGCTGTCAGACAGCATAAACAATCAATAACTCAAAGGATGAGAATGTGTCCTGTGTCCTGAGAAGTTGATTTTCTGTTTTAAGGAATGTTGTTCTTATTGAAGTTGCTGCTATGTTTGGTATCACTGAGCTAATCCCGAGACAAACCCACCCCCCATTTTCACAATTCCCACCCAATAATGCCAATATTGATGACTGGTTAAATCAGATCCATTCTTTAGGGTTTCGTAAGACCTCCAGCATCTCGGCTTCCTTACTACCTTTTGTGGGCTCATGCATGTACTCCCACCTGAAATGAAACATTTATGGCTAGTGAGTTAGTAATATTAAATGATAGATTAATACAATAAAGACAATTTAAATGACACTAAAGAAACAAGTTTACTTTAAAACATTACGTTGAGTTTTTAAAAGGGTCATATCATGAGGAATACCATTTTCCTTTATTGTTCGAGGTTATCGTAGGAGCTCATTTTCAGAAATGGTTGTAAAAAAATTATCTGTTTGGTGTGTTTTGTTATAAGTGGACCTCAGGGGAAACATGAAAAAAACCTTTCAAAAAAAGTAACATTTCTTTCAATTCTATAAGTAAACATTATAAAATATTTAAAAAAATAAAAGCTCAAGAGGATGGTCCATGGTAACAGGCAGTAGCAGATGTGACAAAGTTGGCTAAATACAAAATCCTTTACCTAGCAGTAAGTGGTAGGGACATCAGGATGCTCTCGATGCGAGACCAAATTTCACCCCTCTGTCATACACTGAGTTAAATTCGACATATCTAGGAATCACAGAGAGTTTGGTTAGCTGCTGAACATTTATATATGACATATATATTATATGACAAACAACATCAAATTCAATTCAAAAGACAATTACAAATGTAGTCATAACTATGCTATATTATCATACTACTATAAAATATTGAATAATGATGAACATGATTAATATTGAGTTATTTTAATAGAAACTAAAATAGACTTAAGACTGAATTTGCATAAGATACTATTTTATTTGTTTGTATATATATTTTAAGATATTTTTCTGTATGTTGCTGGCAATTTAATATTTTCAGCATTATACTATAAAGCAATAAAAATATATTTATATACATTACTGTTCAAAAGTTTGTGGTCGGTAGTTTTTTTTTATATGTGTTTGAAAGCAGTGTCTTATGTTCACCAAGGCTGCATTTATTTGATCAAAATACAGTAAAACAATACAATTGTGAAATAGACGTTTTTGATATATTTTTAAATGTGATGATTGTAAATCTGAATTTTCATTTCCAATACTCCAGTCTTCAGTGTCACATGATCCTTCAGAAATCTATCTAATATGCTGATTTGATGCTCAAGAAACTTTTCTTATTATTATCAATGTTGAAAACAGTTGTGCTGCTCAATATTGTTGGAAATCATGATACATTTTTTTCAGGATTTGTTGATTAATAGAAAGCTCAAAAGAAATATAACTTTTTGTAAATTTTATTTGTATCTTTTTCACTGTTTATTTATTTGTGCTGTTGCTTGTAGTTAGATTATTTGTTCTTATTTTCTTTATTTTTATTTGACAATATCGTTTTTTCCCTAAACATAGCACATACCGAACCGTACTGAAACTGCGACTCTAAAACCGTGATACAAACCGAACCGGGAGTAAGTTGAACTGTTGCACCCCTACTTGAGACCACTGACGGTTCAAACTTATTTCAAAATTAAAAACTAGAAGTAGAACTGAAGATATAAGGAACTGGTTTCTGTCACACTCTGCATTCACTTCGAAATGAGAAGTAAGTCTCTCACCATCTTTCCCTTTCAGAACTTTTCCACGGCTGCGCATTTGCTTGGCGGCCTCTTCAGTGAGGTTCCCAAACACCACGGACACGTTCACACCCGCTTTCTCGAAAACCTTCCCATCTTGCATCACACAGCTGATGCCACCACCACCTTTATTAGACACGAGAAACATGCAATCGGTTTTGTTACAGTGTAACACCAGCACGAATCTTCTAGCTGATATTTAATGTATGAATGTTTCTGTTTTATAGGATAACAAAGCAAAATCGAAATCTTTCCAACGCTCTGTTGGGAATCACTGATCTATGGAACAATTAACTTTTTAATATAGCAAATTGTTATAATATATAATTAAGCACACATTTTTGGAACAATGATAGCTAAATAATCTTTAGAATGCAACATTAAAAAGATGCATTACAAATATATATATATATATTATGATTAATAATATTCATATTTTGACTAAGTCAATTAAAACAAAATGGAATGTTTTAAAATGTAAAATAAGATTTTGCCATTTAAACCTGACACTTCACCAATTACATTATGGTTTTAAAAGGACCATTTGGAAAGGCTTTCCGACTTTGATGTTGGATGACAAAATAACTTTATAAAATTCATACACTAGATGGTAGAGTACAGAGTGCACTGTGTAAGTGCATAGTGTATAGTGTCATCTGGGACAACTTAAACTCCATAATTATTAAATAAAAAGTAGAAATTATGACATAAAACGTTCACATTATGACATAAAAAATTAAGACGTAAGAAAGCCTAAATAATGAGACAAAAAGTCAAAATTACAACAAAAAACCATTATGACAAAGATTTTAAATTATGAGACAAACAGCCATAATTATTACACAGGAAGTCACAAATATGATAAAAAGTCGAAATTATAGGATATAGTCAAAATTATGAGATATAAAGTCAAAGTTACAACACACAAAGTTATAATTTAACCAAAAAAGTATTTTTATTTCATAAATAAAACTTTTTAATATCATAAATGACTTTTTATTTCATCATTTCCACTTTTGCAGTATGTTATGTTTACCAAAACATTATTTTTTTTTTTCTTATGTGGTGGAAATGGGCTCCCAGCCTCCCACATATCTGTAGATCCAAACATAAATTAGGACTTTGGACCACCATGTGTGCCACCAGTTGTTATGGTAATTATATTTTATAAGTTTTTTAATAAGTTTCATTCATACCATCACTGAATAGGTTTTTAAATGAAAAACACATTCAATGAATTAAATTAATTATAACTTCATAAAGTTAAACGTTACATTAGAAAAGTAGGGCAGCAGAAATGAGCTAACCTTCCTTTCTACTCCATCTGTCCACCTTGAACGTGCCTCCATCCACCTCCTCAAGGGCTTTACAGAATGCAGCCTGTGTCTCCATGATGAGCATCTCCATTCTCGTAGACATCGCGTCTTTCCTCTGCTCCAAGACCCTGATGTCAGTGACTGGTAGAGACATGAACGACTTGCATCTCTCCCGTATGTCCTCCTCTTCTTCTTCAACCGTGGATACCTTCGTTGCCATTTCGGCCCGCTGAAAGTGACTTACACCTGCCGTCAGAACACCAGTGACAGCTGCTGCCCCAGCAGCCAGAAATACACCTTTACCGTACCGTCCGAGTGAGATCCTCCCCGGCGATGCATGAGACATCTGTCTCGTTCCTGCTCGAATGACCATTTTCCTCCCGGAAGAAAGGCACATTTACGGAGGGTAGAGTAACGGGCTACAAAAGAGTGGAAATCAGCTGTGCCATGCGCAGAGCGGGACACTTGGCACAGTCTTGCTATTGATCTCGCTGAGTTGTTTATTGTGCACAAAGCTATAGAAGTCATTTTGTCTACTGAGCGACAATAACTGTATCGGTCCACGACCTGCCAATTGATAAGATGATCATAAATGGGTGTAAAGTTACTATATGCAGTTTTGTACGTAGTTCAGTTCTGCCCGCGGAGTAGTGTCTTGACTTTTCGAGGTGTATTGTGGGAAATTGCGTTTTTTTTTCCTATGAACTGTGCTTTATTTAATCTAGTACGGAATACATATACCATTAACGTGAAAGTATAAACTAATCGTAATATGTACTTCCGAGCTAATAAAAATTAATCTTTTAATAATGTAGTGCCAGTATCTTTACGTTATTTTTCCATCGCTGTCCTGTTATAAATACCTTTTAAAATATTATTGATAGTATAATAATATTAATGCAGAATAATTGTTGCCTTTGTGCTAGTGTTGTGTTGACAAGATTTTTACAAGAAAGTGAAATCTAGAAAAGTGTCAGGGTCAGAAAAACCTTTTTGGTATGGTTGTTAAAAATTATAATATTGCCAAAGCATACGTAAAAATACAATGTAGAAAATAAATAGTTAATTAAGGTGACGTAAGTAAATAAATTAAGGAAATAAACTATTTTAATAAACTATAAACGATTTTGCCAAACAAACCAAAGTATCCTTTGTTGTACCCTTTTTCCCCCACTAACTGTATCACAGATAAAATCTGGCTGGATCTTCCGTCTACATTTCAAAGAGTCTGCGCATGTGCGCGCCCTCACGACAGGCCGTGTTGTGCGTCTCTATGGCAACACCTGTTACACGCTACTTTGAAGCTGAGGCCAGCAGAGGATTAGAGCGACCTGCTCGCTAATGTACAGGTGCGCGTACAGACCAGATCTCTGGAACATAGGCCGGCTAATGAATTATCATTCATTATTTTTGCACTTAACGTGAAGCAACACCAAACAGAAGTTCTGAAGGTAAGCTCCATACATTTTTAGGCGCGGAAAGTAATAAAACTGAATTCTAAAAGCAGACAATAGGTTAACTATCTAATGCAATGACAAGACCACCAGGTTTTGTGTTGTAATATTAGCCTTAATGCTCGTTAAATTGTTATTTTATCACGGAATTTCGTATTATAATTATTTAGGCATTGCAGTGCATTTAGTGGAATAAACAAATGTGTGTGGCATTTACAACATGAATATAAAGCTTCCCTTTAAATATATAAACTGCGTCTGCAAAGTATGAGGTTAAAAAAAAAAATAATATAGACGAATGAATAACAATTTAGAATCACAGATAAGATATTTCTTATTGGACAGCAATGGAGAATATTGTTAGTTTAATTGTCCCTGTATGAGGACCAGTGTTACTTTAGTATCATTGAGATACTATTATAATTGTATTCATATTTTGAAATAGTTCTTATTTTTATTATATTTTGCGTTTTCATTTTAGTTAAAGTTTTGTAATTTTGTTGTGTTTTAAATTTTTTAAGTTAGTTTTTTTATTTAGTTTTAGTTCTTTTAATGAAGTTAACATGAAGTTAAATCAAGTTATTATATTTGAATGAACTATATATATATATATATATATATTAAAGGTTTTAGTTTTAGTTAACTATAATAACCTCATTATGGATCAGTTGCCATGTCTACACACCTGTGTTTCACTTTCTGAAACTCTCTGACATCTAATTTATGAGACTCCAAGTGGTTAGAATCTAAAGCCCTAATGCATTTGGGCTTTATTTATTACATAACCCTAGCTACATTCATGTCAACAAACCTACCAAGTGTGTTGTACATTTATGTGAAATGTCACCTATATAATTGTAATTGTAATTTTATGTAACTAAATTAAAGTGTGAATTAAGAATGATCAATAAATTGGTCAATAAAATCTGACATTCATTAATAAATTGCCAAATAATTATTTCAAATAATTATACATATTTATAATAATTTCTTTACACCCAAAATCAGTTAACTTTGCTCAAAATAAAATGGTTCTATCACCTTTTTTGTTTGGAAACAGAAAGGAGACATTTTTTTCTGTGTGCTCCATTTTTCATTTGCTGTGTCTTAGGATCCTTCTATAGTGAGAAAGTGAAGAGACAATGAGTGATTCTGCAGTACAGAACATTCCAGATGAGTATGAGGATGACTTTGAGAAAGACCTGGACTGGCTTATCAGTGAGGAGAGCAAGTGTGAGGAACAGGTAAGTGAGTGAATGTGCAATGATGGCAGAAACCGGTTCATATCTCTGAGACTTCTGGTCTCTGAGAGTCTTCTGGTGTGTGGTATTCCATTGCACAGACGCTGTACCTGTGTGTGTGTGAAATCTTCCCTAATGACACAGATCCATACACACTTTCACTCACCCAGAGAACTCTGTCTCATGGCACTGCATTATTCAACACATACGCTCTATGTATCTGATTCACCCTTTAGAAAACATGCTCTCCTTAAAGGGATAGTTCATCCAAAAGTGAAAATTCTGTCATTGTTTACTCGCCCTCAAGTTGTTTCAAACCTCTATGAGTTTCTTTCTTTTGCTGAATACAAAAGAAGATATTTTGAAGAATGTGGGTAACCAAACAGTCTCTGGTCCCCATTGAATTCCATAGTATTTTTTTCCCATATTATGTTAGTCAATGGGGACCAGCAACTGTTTGATTACCCACATTCTTCAAAATATATTCTGTATATTTTTAAAGTTCAACAAAAGACAAAAAAAAAACTCACAGAGGTTTGGAACAACTTGAGGGTGAGTAAATGATGACAGAATTTTCTTTTTTGGGTAAACTATCCCTTTAACTCACACAATGCCAAACTCCTTTTATTGTGGCTTTCTCAAACTGAACACATTATTTTCTCCAACAAAGGATCCTGATGACGATGACGTTGAAGCTCAGATAGACAAAGAGCTTGAAGAAGATGTGCACAAACACAAGGAAATGGTTGATGAAGAAGCGGATGAAAGGTGGCCAACGACCATGGAGCCATTAGAGGGTGCGTTAGATACTGATAGGGATGATCTTGTAACCTCTCCACATTTACAGAACAATGAAGAGCTTGATGAAGAAAATAAATATATTTTGGATAAGATTCAAGAGGCTAACAAACAACTCCAGGACCAGGATCCTCCAGACCAGAGCCGGCAGAGACGCCTGCAGTTTAAAGACACTCTGGTTGACCTGGTGGTGCCTGCGCAAGAGTTTGACGCTCAAGAGAACAACGGCGCCTCCTATAGGGACGTAGAGGAAGAGCAAGAGGTATCCGGACAAATGCAGAGACTGAAGATCTCTTCAAGAGAGGAGAATGAGATTGGAGAGCCTGACGATGAACATAATGAGGGAGCAAAGGAAGGACGGGTTTTGGTTGAAAAAGATGGAAAGTTTGATCTGGTGAGTCTAAAGGAGGTGGAAAGTCAAGGATTGCTTCCTCCCTTGCCGGTTTCTCACAGTGGCAATCCGCGAGCATCTTCACGGCAAAGTGAGTCTGGCCTCCATCTCTGCAAGAGTCCTGTCTCCTCACTGAGGCAAAATTCTACCTCACCTTTTCCCCCTGGCACTGAGTCTCTATACATCCCCAAACCTCCACCGAAGCACCGAAACAGGCCCAGTTCTGCCAGGCCATCCCAAAGGGGAGCATGGGATCAGGGCAACAAGCGGAGGGTCCAGTCTGCAAATGGAGCTCCTTCACACGCCACTTTCACTCTGTCACCACAGCAGAAAGAATTACTTGCCAAACTTCAGCAGCAGAGAGAGAGGCAAGCAAAAGAGGTGTGATGTGGTTTTAATATTAGTTTAATATCAGTTTCTGTCATAATGTAATATAAAAACTGATTTAAAGCTGCAGTCCTTAACTTTTTTTGGTTAAAAATGATCCGAAATCAATATTTGAGCAAGTACATAACCAGCCAGTGTTCAAAACTATCGCCTTACTTTAGCCCGATTCACAACGGTCAGCTTATAATAATGTTTTCTAATTTGAGTGGTACCGGTAGGTTTTCACAGGAAATTTGAGCATGGCACTGTGTCATTACGTCACTTCTGTAAACATAAAGAAGTTGTCCCGGCTACTAGGCTTTCACATGTGAGGATCCTGCAAGTGGCGGATCGTTTATAGCCTTTTCTCACAGCAGCTGGAATAATTAAATGTATCATTTTGATAGCGGATTGTTATCCAGAAAGGACTATATGTTTATAAACACATTTGAATGAAAACAAATTATATTCCAGTTTTAAATGTGCTTCTGATTACAGATAGCCTGGGATTACAAAAGCATAATTTGCTTTTTAGGTTAAAAGAATTTCTTAATATGAAATTCGACTGGTATGACAATTAGAGATTAGACTGTCCAGAAATTGAAATCTACATGCTAATATATATACATGCACTATATTCACATAGTCACGTAATGCTGATGTTGTTTAACATTAACAATTTGAGAATAAAGTATAACAATAATAATAATTTGCACGGTTTGATGTGATATGAGCTAAACGATCTTTAGATTAAATTGCCATTGGTAGCGCGATTTATTGTAATGCTTTTTTCCTCAGTTGGTCAGACTGTTTTTGTTGTCCTCCTTTCTGCTTCTTCTGGTTCCTTTTCAGGATGAGCTGAAGAAAAAAGAGGAAGAGGAACAGAAGCGTCAGGAGAATGAGATAGCCTTCCGAACGTGGCTTATGAGGAAGAGAGAGCAGCTGCTGGAGGAGAGGAGAGTTCAGAATGCCCAGGAAATGGAAAGGATTAGCTGCAGGGTATGTCCACCAGGGGGAGCCGTTTAACCAGAAATTGTGATGCCAGGACCCCCTCTGCATAAAACATGAAGGCAATATATATATATATATTTTTTTAAAATAATTATTAAATATATTTCATTAT